GGGGGGGTGTCGGCACGGTGTGGGAGTCGCGCTGCTTTAAATGCACAAACCATAAAACACTTCCTTGGTGGGAAATACTAATATTTTCATTAAATATCATTTTGGATTCTATATTATCACAGTACAGTTTGGAATGGCTTTATGTGCCTGAGCGTCTTTCATTTTTTATTGCTTCCTTCTGGAAAGCATTACAAACGTCTTTCCTGTAAATAAACAGTTTCTATATGATGAAATGTGGGACCTTGTACATTTCTTGAACAATACGTGATCCATCTGATTTCACCCAGCAAAGAAAACACCACTACGGAAGTCACTTTACAGCGGAGCAGTGGCTTTCTAAGGTCCCTAGAGCTACCGGGCACATTTCTGCAGGATGCTGAGCTGAACGATGCTGAATCGCTGCCTGCTTGCATGGAGAGGACAAAGGAATTATCTTTCTGGTTCCTGAGAACGGAGTGATTTGGCTAATCTTTACAAATCCAACCACTTCTGTCCCTGACTCGCCGGGGACGCAGCCAGGGCTGAAGTCCCGACCCCCTGACAGCCATGGCAGTGTCCCCACTGACCCAGGCAGCGCCATGGTGACACCCTCACCTTCGGCCTCATCCTCCTGCTCCCCATCGTCACAGCCTGCGCCCTCCGTGGAGCCTGCACTCACAGCCGCCTCGCAGCCCCCCGCCAGGCTTTGCCACGCACGCTCCCCAGAGCGCTCACACAGATGCCGTGCAACAGCAAGAACTGCTTTTTACCGAGCAAACACCACGTTTCTGCTCCGCAGCTTCGCCCCGCCGCTCACACAAGCCCGGGACTCGGCGACTCCCCCACAAACCAGCCGCCCGCCACCCCCCGGCTCCCAGGGGACCCCCCGTCCTACCAGACAAGCTGAACCCCGACTGGTGGAGGTTGCGCACGGGAGGAGCCGGGGCTTTGCCCGCACAGGGCGCGATCCTGGACGCCGGGGCGGGGCCCACGGCTTTGGCGCTGGCGAGGACTTCGTGGACCGGCCCGTCGTAGAGCCCTCTGGGGACGCCGTGGACTTCGGCCAGCTGCCGGGCGGGGAGTAAGGAGAGATGTAAGGCATGGATTTAAGCCAAGGCGAACGAGAACTGGGACTTGTTGGCCTTCTGCCTGTGCCTACCCCATACTGAGGGGTTTTGGGGACAGCGTACCCCCAAACAGAGCAGACCCAACGCCTCCCCAGGCTCTTCCCACCCCCAGAGCCGAGCGGAGGATGCTGCCCAGACCCTGTGGGCAGAGGTCCTGTCCCCCCAGGAAAAGGGACTCCGAGGGGTGGCCCGGGGGATGCCTTCTGTGCGAGGGACTGTGCTCCCCCGAGGGCAATGTCCCACGGGTGCGTGCCCCAACAGGTGTCACCCGGTGTGACTGTCACCTCCCGCTGGAGGGAGGACGAGCTCAGCCCTGGGCGCTCGCGGCTGCGAGGGAGCCAGCGCCGTAACGGCTTCGTTAACAGCGTTTCATCACGGATCGGCTTAAGGCTGTGTCTCCTCCCAGGCGAAGCAGCGACAGCCCTTTGACAAGCACAGGGTCAGAAGGGGCTTGTTTTGAAGATGAAAAGTGCTGGGTTTCAAATTAAAAAGGCACGGACTGATAGGTTATCAAGGCATATATAGCATTTTCTGTTGAAATTTTTCTCACATGACCCTTGTCTTCATCGTGCTGCCTATCTTGTGAAGAAAACACCCTGCTCAATGTTTCCCACCGCTCTTTTTGGCTGCAGCTTTTGTCAAAAGCTCTGGCTAAACCTTGCCGCCGGCGCTGTGGGTTATCACCCCGCCGGAGCAGCTCACCGTCCATCAAGGGTCGCGTTTAGCAAACTCTGGCCTTTATGATAAAAAAATACAGCACAGGGTGTCTGCTTCCACAGTGAACAGAGGCTCAGCTTGACCACTGACAAGGAGCCTGGGGACCCTCTGCCCCAGCCGACGGGACCGGCCGGCCCCTCCGCCGCCTCTCTGTGCGTGAAGGGGTACGCGGGACGTGCCGGGGAAATAGAGGAGGCCGCTGCCAGACACCCCATCCATCCCCATCCCCCTCCCCACCCCACAGGGACCTGCCAGGGTCCCATCCCACCCTGACTCCAGAGATACCCCCAGGCACCAGAAGCACCCCTCTGGAGCAGGGGGTTCCTGCCCCAGCTGCCAGCGCTGCTGGCACCTCTGTAGGTAATTTGGGGTTAATGATTTCTGCTCTGCCCTCATCTGCAATGCATAATGCAACTGTCTGCACTAGCACATGGAAAAGGGGAGGAGGGCAGAGCCGTTAAGAAGCTTTTCATATATTTGCCTGTCTCTGTATCTCCTGGCAAAGCCGTGCGGGCACGCTGAAAGATTTATCTTACTGCATTTCCAGGAACTACAGAACGCCACAGCCATTACCCTTTGACAGATGAGAGCAGACACGGGTAATGCAATAGCAGAAACCTTTCTAATACGGCTGGGAGAGGAATTCCTCCCTTCCGCCGCAGTACAAACCAAACAAAACCAGATTTGCTAGAAGTCATATTTTTGCTTTATAGCTTCCTAATAGGCAAAACTTCCTAATAATACCTGAATTATTAGCTACAACACTCAAACAGGCATTATTGACTAATGTGCCAAGCCACACACTGAAGCAGTTACATGACAACATTACAAATTTCCAAGGCCTAGAAAGAAATAGCATTAATAATATCCTTGTTTCTGTTGCCTATTCCATCAGCAGGCTTGCTGTAACAGTGACTGCAATACAGCAATGCAGGGATACACGATGAAAATACGTGATTATGGCAAATAAAATTCTCCTTACCCTGTTTCTTGCCTTTATCCTTTTATAAACGAAATCAGGGAATGTCTTTCTAGGAATGAAGCGACCTGACCCCTGGGTGACACACAGGTTTCCACCTTCAAGAACAACTCTTCCCTGACTGATGACCACGGTAGGAACCCCGTGGCACTCTGTCCCTTCAAATATGTTGTACTCCACGTTCTGGAAAGAACAAACCAAGATATGCAGTGTGGTTAAGGTCTAAGAAGAGAAGGTGACAGTCTAGCCAACCATACCCCCCCCCCCCCATTTTCATACATTGCTCCTCGTGCACCATCAGTTGTACTTAACCAACCCTTTGCATTTCTGGTGATAAGGTTTGTCTAACTGGATGAACCAAAGCAAACTGGAATGGAGAAACTAAATCCTCAAAACACTCAAAACCACTCTGTGCTTGCCCAGAAGCCACGCAGTGCTCCTGGAGCAAACTAGACTTCTGCTCCAGGCCAACAATGAGCTCTCTCCCAGCCCCAGAAGAGCTCTGCTTAAGCTCTCCATCGGGAACAGAAGTTCTTCTCATTTCTTCCAAGTCACCGTGAGCCTTCTACCAAAACTGGTACGGAAAGTCAGGTCTGGTTTGCGGGAAATGCAAAACTGCGACACTTTCTTCAAATGCTCCCACTACTACCCCATACAAACTACCCAAAAAACAGTTTACAGTGAAAAAATGCAGCACTATAAAAAAGCAAAAGTGAATTTTCTGGACCAAAAAAACCCCGTGTTCTTTTTTAAATAAAAAGACCTGAATATTTCCATCTTAATGATAATTTGCTTCAATAAAAAACCATCTTGGTGAAAAAACCCACAGGGGCCAGAAGGCTTCTACACTAACTTCAATCACCAACGCTCCTCACAACACCTCCCCCTCCCTCTCTTTCAACCACAGCTTTCTGTCTGAGGCTCACGTTGGAAATCAGTTTGGGGATGTCCCTGGCCTGGAAAACCACGGCCAAGACACCACCAAGATGCACCCGAACCTCTCCTGACTGGGTGACCCCTGCGGACAGGCAGCGCCCGTGGAGCCCGTGCGGGAAGGGGTCTGGCACTTCGGGAAGGATGCTGATCTATTAAACTATACTCGTAGTTTCTATTAAACATTATTCATATATTCATAGTTTAATACTGAAAACTAGTTCAGCGCTTACATTTTTCTAGTCCACAGTGAACACATTGACCTCAAAACTTCTGTACCAGACGAGACTGCCTCGGAGCAGTCACTGCTGCTCAGTGACGATCCTGCCCCTCACAGTAACCGAAGGGTATTTTCATTTGCTTGTCCTTTCAAAAGCAAACGCAAGCTCCTTCCCCACTTCACCCACACAGACGGCTCCTCCCTTGCCGAATGATCTGATCTTTCTGATCTGAAGAAATACATTGCTTTACTGCTCTCTTCTGACTCTAAAACCAGCTCAAGAAAATAATCTAAAAAAAAAATTTACCAGATTGTGAGTTTTTGCTGAGATGATTTTAGTAGCCTTGGGGTTCCACAACACCAAGTCTGCGTCAGCGCCCACAGCGACGCGCCCCTTCCTGGGGTAGCAGTTGAAGATCTTGGCAGCATTGGTACTGGTCACCGCTACGAAATCGTTCTCGTCCATCTTCCCGGGGACCTGGGGAAGGGGAGGGAAGAAGGACCGTCACCCTGCCCCCCGCAGCGGGCAGCAGCCCCGTCCCCACGGCCAGACCCGCGCTCTCCCGCCCACAGGAACGAGGCTCCAGGAGAAACCGCAGGATCCAGCCGCGTGCGAGGATCCACACTGCGACAGGGCTGCAGTTACGGGGGAGAAGGGAGACGTGGGGGCTGAGCCTTGTCCCTGCGGGCTAAATCTTACAACAGACGGGTTTTATGTTCCCCGGACTCTGAAAGTTAAGGTCTCTGAAAAACAAGACCTTCACTGGTAGGCTCCAACTCCCTGTACAGGCACCTCACATTCTCTAGAGACGGTGAAGGATACTTCAATGAAGAAAGACTGGAAGTGAACTTAAATAGTGCTGTTTATCATCTTTATTTATGAGCTTGAGATAAATTCTATTTATCTTTGAACAAAGCCTACCTAAGACGGAGGCTTCAGGGTGGCCCGGTGCCCAAGCTCCTGGGAGTCCACACAGGGACGTCTGCTCCGTGGGAGGCAGGCTAGAGCCTGCCAGGATGCTCCTTCGGAGGTGCACGGACATGGGGCTCGGTCCCCGCAGCGCTCCGCTGCCCCGCAGGCACAGAGGTGCCGCAGGAACCCGTCCCCACTGGTGGGGCCTGGGGCGCCCAGGAGCTGGCAGGCATGGCCACGGCCACGGGAGAGGCACCCTGTGCCCATCCACCTCCCCGGGCCTGCAAGCACCAGGGGAGGGGAACGTCGCGTCTGGCCCTTAGGAAAACGTGTTGGAGGGACTTTCTCCGGTGACTGCGAGTGCGCGACGGGCGATCCCCGCTCCGAAGCCTCTGAGGGCACTCGGAAGGCACGCGAGCGCCCCACCTTCTCCCATCAGCAAGCTCCTCTGAAGCAGCAGTCTAGACAATATCACAGCCCCCCGGCTCGTCGGAACTAACGGGGACACCGACATCGCCTCGCGGCTTCGCGAGGCAGCGCTGTTACCCCGGCACCTACCACACACTTCTCCCAGATGATCGACATCCGCTCTTCGATGCCGTTGGTCCCCTCGGGGATGAGGGTGAAGTTGTCCTTCCCCACCGCCTTCTGCGCCGTGGTGAAGGTGCAGTGCGCGCTGCCGGCCCTCGTCGGAACTAACGGGGACACCGACATCGCCTCGCGGCTTCGCGAGGCAGCGCTGTTACCCCGGCACCTACCACACACTTCTCCCAGATGATCGACATCCGCTCTTCGATGCCGTTGGTCCCCTCGGGGATGAGGGTGAAGTTGTCCTTCCCCACCGCCTTCTGCGCCGTGGTGAAGGTGCAGTGCGCGCTGCCGGCCACCTGCAGGTCCCCGCTAGGCGAAGCACAG